CCACGGATAAGTCGTGAGAGGGATGTGGTGGCACGTAGAGAGAGAGAGAGAGAGGGAGGAGGCCTCTAACCCTGCAACGATGAGGGAGAAACGGGAGGGGTTGAGGAGCGAGACGAGTCGTTTACGGCCGCTTTACATGCAAACTGGGAGGAGGAACGAGAGGAACCAGCCTCGCCTTGGTTCGTCTTTAAGGCGTTAAGTAATTGCCGCGAGTGATCCCGGATATGGATGGGTTATCGTTTATCGGAACGATCGTCGGTGTTCACCCTCCCCCTCCACTGGGTCATGCTGCTTTTTGAACGTTGGATTCTCTAGTCTCTAGAATGAGGGATTAGAGATAAAAAAAAAATATATTTAAAAATGTTAGTTTCGTGAACAAAAAAAGGTGTACGTATCGCGTGAAATATGTTAACATTTAAGGGGGTTTTAAGAGGAATATTTTATCCGGAGTATACGTAGTACTACGGTGTCACGTGAAACGAGACGGTGTGAAAGATCGTCACCGAAATGACACGAGGTACGAGCGTCGTTTAAACTTTGAATAAGGTTGGCGTGACACGAAAGGGAAGATGAACGAACGTTGAAACGCGTTCTTTCTCGGGGAAAGAAGTCGCCGAAGAACGGCGCCGAAAGCGACACCCGGCGTCAAAGAGGAAATGAAAAAGAAAAAGAAAAAAAGAGAGAACAGGGGGATGGGGGATGGAACACGCGTAGAATCCGTGGAAAACGGAGTCACGGTCAAGCTGAAAAACGGCCCCCCCTCACTCTGGTTGGTTAATTCGAAAGAGGTCTCGGGCGTGTCATCAGCCATCCGGTTGGGACCCTCGCGAGGCTCCTCTTAATCGCGGCGTTTTGTCACTTTTGCACGGAGAAAAGGGTCGGCGAAGAAAGAGAGAGAGAGAGAGAGAGACAGAGAGAGATCCAAGGAGGCGGAATAACAGCCTCCAACAGTTTTATCGTGGTCGTTTTTATCATTTATTTCTTCATTTGTTGTACGTTAATTCTTCTTCCCTCCTCGAGGTTCTTCTTCCTCTTCTTCGCCTCGAATATCCTCGAATATCCTCGAATATTTGTTCGGGATAGGGTTAAAGGGAAAATTCGCGAGTGGAAAAGGGATGAGTTTGTTTTTCAGGTGGAATCGTCGTGCGAGAATACACAAGCGGAGGGGAGAAAAGATTGTGTTGGAGAAAGCGGTTGCTAGCTCAAAGGAGGAGATGGCCGCGCGCTAAAGGCAAAACCCGTGTTTTATGTTTCTGCAATCTTGCGTTTTCCGCGAAACAACCTTAAAAGGAACGGCCGCGTATCACGATTGAACGTTGCGCGTAAACGACCACGCATCGACGAAACAGGATTTGTTTCCCCGGCAAATGTTTGTGCAGACGTTTTTCGAAGGTATCGCGGCAGAAGAATAAAGCTTTCGAGCTCGGTACAAAAGCGCGCGCTTATTCCTTTGAATATCTTGTTCTTCTGTTTCTTTGTACACACAGGGTGGGTCAACAAGGAATGATGGGGAGGGGAAAAAAAAAAAAAGAAAATCTCGTTATTCGATAAAAGGAAGGATTCTGCTTCGAAGAGGAAGAGGAGTAAGTCGAGTAACTTGGCATCTCTCCACCTGATAAATAAAAATAAAACTTGGTATTTCGAGACTCGGCATTTCCACGTCCCCCTCCTAGTTTGCATGGCGCCGTGATTCTTAGCTCACATTGTCATTTTCGAAGTGTGCTATAATATCCGTTTGATTCCGAACTAGGCACTCGAGCTATTACTACTATTACTGCTACTACTACGTGTTTATTAACGTGGCGACACGGCAAATTCTCACGCATCGTGTGTATTTTCAAATCGCGTGCCCGAGGCGGAAACATTGACGCAGGTCAGTTGGACGTGACGCGAATCAGGTGTCGCCTCGGTTGCCAAGAATTTCTTCGCGAGCTACAACTCGTCTTCGCGATTTTGTTTCGCGGCCAAGCTTTCTCGATATTGAATGAACTGCCGCCAAAGTGACTGGAATCCGATTATGCGAATACGCCACCATCAACGTAGTTTTACTCGCGCGTGAAATCCCGAGGCGAGATTTCGATCGATAATTTTAATAATTAAGTAATTATTGCTCGATTTTTGCTCGATGTCGCGAACGAAACGATTAGCCATGAGAAATAAACCGTCAAGGATCGAAGTAAAGTAAAGATATATAATTCCCCTATAGAGATAGGGGAATTTATTTTTGTGTCCCTAGCGTGTGACACACCTACGATTTGAGAATCTCTGCTTTAAAGCATAGTCGGTCAGGCACTTTGGTCTTGGCTGGCAAACGGAAAGCAGATAAATGCAGTCCAAGCGTTGAGTGCATCCAAATGTAAATACAGTAGATAGAAGAATCGTCTTAAGATTGACAATATGTGATACGTGTCTCCTCAATAACGTCTCTACTCTTGCTCTTATTACTTACTCGAACCGTACGGAGAGACAAAAGCTCGAGTTCGAGTTAGAAATCGGAGCTTACCTCGTTGCGAGTTTTAAGGTGAGCCATTAAGACCTCTGGCCGGCATTTGCATTTGTGACGACGCGCGTATTCTCGGCGAGAAAGAGAGGCCAGGCGCACCGTTAACGTGGCCGCGTCATAAATTCCATGGAATAAAGAAGGGCGATGGAAGTCTCCTCCTGTCCCCCTGTAAATACCGCGGGCCCATTAAAACTTTTCGCGTACTTAGGTCGGAATTTATTTCGACCTAGCCACGTGCACCCGGCCAACCGTTTTACGGCGCCAGCTCCTCCCTGATCCGCGTTATATATTTCTTCTGAAATTGTGAACTTTTCAACGCACCACCTTTGCTCTTCTATGCAGAGGGATCCTTAAATCGAGTAACGATTTTACGCTTACAAAATTTCTTTGAACTGTACGTTTCCTGTCAGAAGTTTTATTCCAGGCAATATTTCACGTAATAATGCTGTGCGTAATAGATCTTCTCTTTTTATCGCGAATTCTGTCGCAGTGAACGTTGAAAAGAAATAAAGGAAATCCTTTTAGGACGTTCGAGTCCGTGGATGTAGATCCCGAATCTCCGGGGTTTACACGACTTTCGCCACGGAATTCTCTCGTATCCTCTTTATCGTTGCATCGCTTTCTCCAATTTTTTTGTCTTCGCTCAGTGGAGAATAATTCCGTGTTCCTAATTCTTATCTATTTCAATCGTAAAAAACACGCGGACGGTTTCCGTCTGTTTCGAAATTTCACCGTTTCAGAGAAATTCTCGTGTTTGGGAACAGAAGAGGCCGGCGAATTCTTGGTTTTCACTTGGTAGGATAAATTAGCAAGCGCCGTTGCTGCCCGGTTGCCGGACGTGTTAAACGCGGTTCTCGAATTAGAATTCCTGTTTCGGTGCGGGCCAAAAAGGTGCTCGTGGGCGTTGAGGTAGCTCGTTCGTGGAATTCTGACGTTTCTTCAACCTCTTTGCCAATACCTGCGAATCGAGCTGCGAACAATCAGCCGGCCGGATAATCGGGCATTGTTTTACGCCGCTAAATCTCGCGAATTTCGCCTATGATCGCGAAAATAATTAGCTTCGAGATCGGTTTGACGCAATTGCAACACATTGTAGCGCGGAAAAACCAGTATCGCGGTGTATCCAACTCGTATCTAACTCGTGTATTTTTTTCGTTACGGTCAATAATCGTGTGTCATGTGGATATATTTGTAAGCGAAATCCAACTTATCACGAGATAGAGCACGAGATTATCGCGACAGAGCTTGCGTGGATCTATTCACCGCTACGGAGAGAAAGAGAGAGACAACTCGAAGCCTTGAAAATTGCAATGGATCCATTTGTAGAATAGAATTCTTTGTCACCCGCGATTCCCTCGAATCGCATTTATACGCTTCGAGTATCATCCCACGATTCGTTAGGATGCAATCGCGAAAAGCAGCAATCGTCGTCATCCCGATTCTCGACCCGGTGTGCGCATGCTTCGAGAAAAATTACCGGAAAAGAGAGGCATAATCCTATTGTTTGCCGGGTTTCACGGAGAGAAAGAAGTAACAATGGAGGCATTAGCGGCGAGTTTGTCCGCTCGATTGTTGCCAGAATTAAAAATTGTGCGCGGCTTTATAAAGATGCAGACTCTGAAGCGTTAGCGCGTAGTGGAGTAGTGGTCGGTTGCCTTTGTCGGACAGATACGATAGCGATTTATAAATAAAAAAACTTGCGCGAATTGATATAGGAATGATTAGAAATGCAATGAATCGATTAGAAAATGCTAAGAATATTTTTTTCATTTCTTCGTGTAGCTTATCGTTATTGAAGACATTTCTAATAATTCCGATATGTGTTACACGAGTATTAATTATCGAGACTTTGATATTTTTTTCAAGATATTGTTATCGATTTTTATACTTCAATTATAATCCAATTATAATCCAATGATCATATTACTCTTACATTATTTATACGTGTTCGCTAATTATTATCTTCGTTAACGGGAAATTATCGATATTTTGTTTATTTAATTTTTATTATTAACTCGATGTGTCGAATTCTTAGGTAACGATTGTTGCAACACAGGTTCAAACATAAACAAACATCATTTAAATAGATAAAATCTAAAAGAACAGAAGTATTATGAACGAATACGGAAATTTCCCTTCCTTGTTTACAATTTTCCTATTCTGTATAATATTCTTGTTAATTTAATAATTACGTTTAATTTTTCGAAAACATGAGTTTGTACAAATACCATTATAAAATTACCATATAAAATTGTTGGAAAACAGGGATCGCTTGAATATATAGACATTTGCATTTCATTGTCCGTTAATTTTTCGAAATTTTAAGCTCTTATCTAACCGTAGATCTACGTCAACAGTAGTTCTTACGAACACTTTACTTGTTCGTTCATTATCACGTAGATGAGAGATCGAGAAAACAGTTTTCTTTTTAATCTATTGTTATGTAACAAGTGTTAGAAGGTGTATGGTAAAAATATTCTTTATTTGTTTGTACAATTTGACGTTATCGACTCGATTTCTAAAGAATGTTGGGACATTTTGAGAGCGGTATGCAAGCCTTGGTCTTTTCGTTTCTCACAGTACCGTACGTGCATCGACAATCTCTCGTGATTTCCGAGTTGCATGGCTGAAATTTATTCGTAGTTTAATTTTAGAACACGAATCCTGCGACGATTGGATAATTTAATTTTCCAGAAAGACTCACGATCGGAGGGCAAAGTTCGAAATCCGAGTTTGGGTTGTTGCAAGTTGCCTCGCACAATTTTCCACACACGTTCATTTCTTCGTTCTTTTCGCACTTTATATCTTTTCCCGTCACCTTCGATTGCCCTTTAATATCTATACATTGAGGAAAATCTTAACAAATTAATCTTGGAGTTATAGAAAAAAAAATCAACAAATTTTCTTATTTATTTTTTGTGGGATTTTTTGTCGTTATACTAATAATTCATTGTGTATCGATTTGCAGAGAAATTAGAATACTCACGAACAAGAATCGTAACGATAAATATGCACACGATGTATCGTGACATGGCGACGTGTTTTTCTTCGAAAGTAGTATTAGTTCAACTCTCGAACTTCTTCTCGTTTCCTCTTTTAACGTCGAGTCTTTTAAACATTCTCGATTTTTATACCCAACTTTTCGTGTTGCATCGCGTGTATTTTCTGGTATCGTGAAGATAGCATGCACGATACACGATAAATATAAGGATTTGAAAATACTTGACTCATGTGATCGTTATTTATGTAATGTCTTACTTACTTGTTCTGTGTATTCAAATCAATTCAGAATTTATAGCGTTTCTCTTCTAGAGGATACCAGCGGATAGAAAACCGATTTAACATTTAAAGGGAAAAAGAAAAGAATGGAAAAGAGAGAGAAGAAAAGACAAGAAAACATCTTTTTTCCTTTTTTTATTATTATTTCTTTTTTTATCTTACAAATATTGGAAAACAAATATTAAGAACACTCTTTATTCAGCTATTACAGTCTCTTTATTTGACACAAGACTTATTTTCTACAATGGACAATGATGGCTATACAAGGATCTTCTATTTATCTTCTACTTTTCTGATATAGATGTAGACATAGATATATAGATTAACATCGTTGAAGTTCGTTATTCGTTCGAAGAGCAAATCTCAGGTGGACATTCTGAAAGCGGTACACAATTATTATTTTCGTTTCTAACGGTGCCGTTAACGCATCGACAACCTCCTGTCGTAGACCATGTGCAAACCTGAAATAAGTTTATTCGTTGTATTATGTATAATGAATTTTGTGGTAAGATAATTAATCGAATACTTACAGGTCCTAAACCTAGTAGGAAACACGATTCCATCTTTGGATTACAGCAAGTTGGTGGGCAGATACCTTCTCCGCATATGTTCGGTTTTTCATTCTGTCCGCATATTGGGAAAACCTTCGCATCGATATCTGTACATAGAAAGCATCAAATTTGAAGTTAATTTTTGTAAAGTGTTGCAATAATTTCTTTCGTCTGGTATAAATCTAAATCTAAATTTCGTGCATGTTTTTCTCGTCGAAAGTTGAAGTCCAATTTTTATTATATTTTTATCTTGCAGTTGCAGGAAACGAGTAAAATTTTGTTTATCTTACAAAGAAATCTAATTTCTCGAGGGTAATTAATTTAATGCCTTTTTTTTTTTATCATTAACTCGAGCGAAGAATACTTACAAATGACTATAGCAACGAGAACATAGACGGAAATGTATCGAAACATGATTATTCTTTTTTTTGTTTCCTGTTTCCTGAACAATGTTTCCACTTCTAATGTCAAAATTCTAATGTTTTCGAATTTTTTAAACCCGATATATGTACGTTATATATACGTTAAATTATCTATAGTCCTTGAAGATAATTGTTAAAAGCGATAATAAATAATAAATAATAATAAATAAAAATTCGATAAAAATTTAACCTTGACTCGCGTAATAATTTTAAAACGATCGAAACTAAATACGTTCAAATTAACTCAAAATTTCACCGATTCCTCGTCGTATTTTTATCATCGAGCAATTTCCTCGACAATCTTCTTCGTACGTTTTTACGAAATGGAAACATCATTGTTTTCTTATATCTTAAACATTCGAAAAATTGTATCGATAATTTCGTGTCGATAACCATCAACTTACATTGTTTTTTACTTTATTTCTCTACCACAAAAAATTATCTCCAAATATCCCCTAATTTCAAGAAGGAATATTTTTACGAACAAAAATCGAACTCGTCACGCGAAACGTTATAACATTTAAAATGCGTTTCTTTGCATACAAAATTCAATTCAGTGGGTGTCGTTACGCGAAACGAAATATACGAATCGGGGTCCGATTTGGCGAGTCGGAATCGACACACAGAGTTGTGTAGCGCACTTGCATCGAGCGCATAAAATAATCAGTCAACGACCGCTTCTCGAGCTCCTAGGCTAGGCTAGGCTAGGCTAGGTTAGCGCGCGCGCTGCTACTTTTGCGTCAGGGTCGACTCGGTCGGCTTGTGTCGTAACACCGTTGGGCTAGGTTAGTAATATCGTTCGAGCCGGCCGAGCTATTTACTAGCTCTATTCTTACGCGCCAGCCAACCAGCACGCGCCTGCTCACCGATACACACGCCGCTCGATGCTCTTCCCCCTCTTTCTCATCTATGACTACATATATATATATATATGTGTGTGTGTGTGTGTCTGTGTGTTGCGTGTAGCTGGCGACCGACTCTGTGATAAAGCAACGATACGTATCCCCTACGAGTCTATCGTTTATCCGTTTCACTCCGATGTGTAGATTCTGATTGGTGGATGGATCGTTGGTTTGTTGTACTCTCGTTATCGCTTATCGGACGATCGCCTCTTCTGCGACGTGCTGACCCCGACCTCGTCAACTCGTACTACCCTCCTCGAGTTGAAATTTTCCTTTCATTTCTGGAATTTCTTTCTCCCTATATTTATAATTATCGCTTTTTCTTCTTCGTGTCATGTGTTCCGAGGAATATAAGATATAGTCGAGGGAATCTAGGAAAATAGGGAAAAAATTTTTATCTTTTTTTGTTTCTTTCAATTTTGATTCCAATAATCGTTTTTTCTTATTACATGTTGTATATATCATGTTTCAAGGTGTGCAAGAGGAAAGGAGTCGTGTTTTCCTTCCTCGATTTCTAATTTAAATTAAAATCTTCCGAATTGAGCGAGAACAAGGAATATCGAGTGCCTAGAAAAGAAACGGAATGACAGATACGGGGGAAAAGGAATTCACCAGCAACTTTCCCATCGACCCAGAGATAGCAGTTCCTCGGAGCGTATCTCGCGGGGGTATAAAGTTCACGGTTGAGCGTAACCCAGAAGCGCGTTGAACCGTGAAAAGGTCGCGTATTTATGTCATTAAGAGAATCCGTTCTCCCCCGTTTCCTCCTCTCTCCCCCGCGTTATCGTGACTCCGCGTGAAGGTGGAGAGGACTGGTTTTTCCATCGCGCTTTTCTAGTTGCGCGATTAGCAGGGCGATCTTGGACGAGGTTGTATTACACCTCGTCAACGAGGGAAGATAGCCCACGCGAATTGTCCCGCGCGATCCATTTGAGAAAACGGTGTCGTGTCACGTTATCTGTTACGTCACGTTCTTATGAACTTGCTCGCAATAAACCGGCTACGTGGCTACGCGCGCGCGCGCGCATCCTCTACGTGATGGACCGTGGCCTCCCTTTATATATACACAACATCCTCCTCATTCTCGTGTTCCGTGAATCATTGTGAGTGAGAGGCCGGCTTTTCGTTCTTTTGCGCCGCAACCAAGACGTCGTTTCGGCCGGCCTCGGCTACCTCGAGCGGAATAAATATCGAAAACGATCGGTTTGAATATCTGGTCGCGGGGATGTCGAGAATCGTTGAATTTATAGAGTGTAAAATGTAAACGATCGGCATTGATCGTCTCTCTTTCGTAGTTTATATTTTTATTTCGATTTCAAATTAAGCGAGTCTCGTACGATTTTCAAATTATTCCATGCGAATTTTCCAACTATCTTCCTGGCCAGGATGCGAATGTTGAACGGGTCGAAAAAGGGGGTTAAAGATATAACGCGGTGTGCTCGCGACATCCAGAAGCTCGTTAAAATAGGAGGCGGACGGTTCAATCGTTCTCCTTGTTAGCCAAATTGGATAACGAGTCTTTCGCGTCGAATAATTGGCCGATTCGTGGCGGAGAGAGGAGACTTCGTGTGTTCTCCTCTCGTGGAAGACAAATCAATTCTACTCCGCCGATGTTACTCGTCCTCCTTGCACGTGCTCCGTCGCACGTTGTTCGCACCGTTCTTTCTATGTTTCTTACGATGATCGCGAATAAGAATCATGCAAATTTCAATTTTCACGTGAAACTGCGTTCAAGCGATCTGTTTTACCGTCTAAAAATTTCGTATAGTGTGCGTTCCGTAGATTCTTGTATAATATTTAAATTTTCCAACAACTCGTCGATAAAACTCGACGGACTTTGCATCATTGAATAACATTTCAACATTTTTTTTTTTTTTTTTTTTTATAGCTTCAAATATGTTAAATTCATAAGAATCGTAATATATGTATATACAATTTCTTGGATATTTTTGCATATCAAATGCGTTCCGTAGATTCTTACGTAACGTTTCGATTCTCCGCTAATAAAACTGCTGTGCAGTCGATAGACTCGAACTATCGCAACTAAAACTAACCTTACAACTTCCTCCGCCTAATTTCTAATTCATAAAAATCACAATGCATAAAATAATCTCCCTCGAATATTTCACGTCTTTTAATCGACACGCAAATTCCATAAATTTTCCTCCACACGTATTCCTCTATACTCGATACCTCTTCTTATCGGCAAATATTATTATATAAATTCATGAAAAATCACACAATCGTTTCATAATATTTCATTGAACCCGTCAAACGTTCTGTGAATCTGCACGCGTTTCAAACGTGCACGTTTGGGCTTCTCTTATCTTCTCCAAATCTCCAATTAGAATCCACAACAGTAGCAGCGTTCGGTAGCGAAAACAAACGTAGTTTTTCCCCCTCCCTCCATGCCCGAACGACCTCGTCGCGGCCCGTGTATCTACGATTCCCTCCTCTACCACGCCACGAATGGAAACGTCCGCGCCGCGACGTGTAAACACTCGCGCTTCTGCGTCGTATCGGAAACGTTATAGCCCGACAATCGGGTTTTTCTTGGGCTAGGTTGCGCGCGCTATCGTCTGGCATCGACGCTTGTTTACCGTCTCTCGTCTATTCTCAGCGCCCGCTTGGCGCTCTTATCTTGCGCGCGTGTCTTCGCACGAGCGCTTGCAACTTCGTGAGGAGGCGATAACACGCCTCCTCCCCTCCCCCTAGACTCGAGGGGGGGATTTATCTTGTTGTCAGCGATACGCGATAGGAATGCGTACGCGCTCGATCCACTCGATAAAGACGGAGCCCGATGGAATAGAGCTTTTTGAGATCCACTGGATATACTCGCCGGTTGGAATTTCGCTACGTTCCAAACGAGCCGTAGAGAGTCGTACGCGTGGTTGGAATAATAGAGCGACGGAGGCTCTGTGAATATCGTGGACGAGGAACGGATATTCGAGAGGAGACGTTTAACGTGTACGTCTCGATCAAGGAGGTTGTTTTTTTAAAAATGGAGGTTTGCCCGTTAGATGGAACGTCGACGAGAAAGATTATCGACGAATACGTCGTGGATGTAATATTGTTAAGATATCGATAATCGTAAAACGATATTTTACGTACAATGAAATTGAATCTCGAGATAAATATAAATAAATACATCTCTGGTACGAGAGAGAGAGAGAGAGAGAGAGAGAGAGACAATACGATTATAATCGAAGCGGAAATCGTTGGGAAGAAAAGTTTGATATAAATCATCGTGATACGTGATACTCATCTGCGTTCGAGCCGTAAAGCGAATTTTTTCGTTCGAAGCAATATCGTGACGATCGAAATATCTCGTTCTCTCGTGAACAAAGATACTCGAATACCACAAATCACGTTATCCAAGATAATTAGACGTGTTTCTCGTGGACGAACACGCGTCGATAAATAATCTCTCCCTTCGTGACGGGGCTCTGCGTGGCCGGGTCGAAAAGAACGAACGAACGAACGAACGAACGCCGGCGTCGTTTCTTAATGAGACGTCGACGCGTCACGTGTTTTCCCCGGTCGACCGACTGCTCCAGGGCTACGTAATGAACACGTATGCTCGGCCACGCTCGCGCTTTTCCCCTCGCTGCGTGTGGCGGAACTACGAGACGAGAAAGACAGAGTTGAGAACGGTGTCGGTAGTGCAGTAAACTCGTGCCGGTGGATAAATATACGGTATTATGTAAGTTGTTTGCTGCCAGCCAAGGGAACGAGGAGAGAGAGAGAGAGAGAGAGGGGAGAAACGCAATACGCGCGAAGTGGTGCGTGTCTATCGGGTGTTCGCGCAAATAAAAATTTAAGCAATAAGATTTTTAGAGATCGAGATAAGTACGAAAGTGGCGGGCGGAAATTTCGATAGAGAGTTATTTCGTGCGGAAGAACTTTATTTGTTGGAATATATATATATAGATATTCGAAATCTTGTCATACTTGAATCCCTCCCTCTCTAGTAGTCGGAATTATCTTTGTTATTCGAACTTGGATAATTTCGGTTATATCTGAACTCCTCGAGGAGCCCTATCTCAGCCAGAGTCATTCAAGATGAATCATCCATACATGGATCATATATATTTGGGTCGTATATATTTGGATCATTTGTATTTCATCAATTGAATTCTCTGAATCGAAGTACCCAAACTCTATGATCATCTGATCTCCACGTTTAAATATTTATGTACGAAGCGTACTTGTAACTGAATAATTCTAGCCGAGTTATATATTATTTAAACTAGTAATCCGAGCAACGTTACGCCAATTATACGAACGTTTGTTAGTCGTTGGTGGGAATAATAATGTATTCTTGTGGAGTTGTGGAGTCATTTTTAATGGTAGAGAGGAGGGGATATTTTTTTCCGCCTTTTCCGTCTGGCAAAATCTACTAACACGCTATATTAATTTTTGCGTAAAATGAAGCGAGAAGAGCGAATTAGCAAGAATAATTCGAAAGATAAATGTTGTGTGATATCTTTGTGCAATAGAATTTTAATCTCTAGAATCTCTTTTTGTTTCGAACGAGCTCTGTATAACGGACTTTTTCGCGTAAACATTGTGCGATAGTCGATCGACACGAAAGAAAACGATCCAATGATTTTTCTCAAAGAAAAATTCGCGGGAAAATTGATCGATCGAACAACGCCACATTCCGTTCCGATGAGTCGTTGTCTTCCGTGACTTTGAAAATGTTTTTCTCCGAAAAAAAAAAAAAAAAGAAAAAATAAAACAAAAAAAAAACATATCGTTAATCTTGCTTATTTTTTTTCCTTTGTGAAGCTATCTACATGTTCAGTTGCACGTACGCGATGAGGTTACGTAATCGCCGGTGACTAACAACGAGACGCTTTTCGAGAGGCGTAGAAGTTGGCATACTTGGCTAATTTCGTATTATTTAAATTTGTACGTTATTCCACATTTATTATAATAAAAATTGTCTCACAAAAAAATATCCATCGAGACATCAATCTTCCGCATCAAGATGGAAAGAGTTGATGTAAGATAAACGAATATTTTTTTGGAAAACATGTTTCACTCTCTCAGAAGTTGAGAACAATCTTCGCAGTAGTACTTCATTCGTAGTAGAATGAGAACTTTATGATCTGGCCGCAAAAATTCAAACGATTCCAACGTACCAACGCCGTTCATTCTTCGAACTATTCCAAGCTATTGTAATACGTTCCGGTGCAACTGGAACCGGTTGTCGTCCTACCCGACAATGGAAGAATTTGATTTTCAATCGATTCTATTCAACCACCGAAAACCCTGTCAACGAGCGCGCATACAGATGCACCCTTTTTTCCTCCACCGCCCTGTGGAGGCGCCCTCGTTAATCGTTATTCCGTGCAATCTTTTCCCTATTGATCGAGGCCACCGGAAGCAGAAGAAAGGCCACCAGTACTCTATTTCGTCGGAACGAACAAAAGGAAAAACCCTGTGCGTGGTCGTCGTGTTTCGCATTTCCAGATTTCTCGGAACGACGTCGCAACGATCGACAGCTGCTAACACGCCGCGATTAATTCGATTGGAGGGGAAGGGGTGGAGTTTTCTCTCCACCCTTCTCTGTGGATTCGGCTCGAGCCGAATGTCGTCGCTTGATTGCGTGCCAATGCCTCGCGATTTTCGGGTGTCGATTCTCCCACCGGGGAACGAATGAAGCGAAAGGAAGAGAGGAGGAGGGAGGAAGGAATCGAAGAAAAGTATTTTTCTCCCTCTTCCCGCGGGAAGAATCGACGGAGGGGTGTTGTTCAAAGGGGACGGATTTTTCTTCTCTCGTTTGAGGAGCGCTCTCGACGTGAGCTTTCAACCAATTTCCACGCTCGTGCGAATCACACGTATTTTCACAATTTTCGTCGCAACTTTAACCCTTTGCGAGTCCCAACTCGAGTGATTTAACGCTAGATTATCTCCAATTAATAAGAGCGCAGTATCGATTCTGCGAGTAGAATCCTCTTAGATCTTTATTTCTTTATCGTCTCGATCGAAAAAGTCGTCGGGCGAGCAAAGGGTTAAAATGAATCTCAACTCCTTTATTTATCTACATTATCTACATATTATCGACTCGATTTTACTATACAAAAGTTCTAAGCTTTGAATTACATTCGAAAACATATACGTATATGTTTCAGAGCTAGCTCATAAATACGATAGGAAGGAGCTTTCAAGCTTCCCATCTATATTCCCTCCCCGTGCTTTTATCTCGAAGAAAACGGGGATTTCTTCCTGGTAGACACGCACGCACACCCTCTCCTCTCCCTCGCGTTGACCCTTGGAAATCTCTGTTCCTTTTCGTTCCCAACAAATTGTTTCTTTGATCGTCGACCAAGCTTGCCACACCCCTCCCTCCAACAAACTCGACGCTATTTTTCCCCCGACGACCTTGCCGATAAGCGAAAATATTTTTCCTCGGAATTACACGGGCCTCGTTTCGCGGAAACGAGAGTCGCTCGGGAACACGTCATCGGTTGGGAATTATAAACGAAGTCACGCGAATTATCGCGATAGTGGCGTTGTATATAGCAGCATAGGCACCTGTTACACGCTGGGGGCGGGGGAGGGGACCCGCGCTCATGCGAGGGGAACAGTTGTTAAATTATTCTTGATCGCGCGCTAGCGATATTGGACGGTGGAAGGTGGGCCCACGCTTTGTCCGTGCTCGTCCGTGCTTCGGCTCACGTGTCGTTATTAATCAAGCGAATAGTCAAGCGGTAGTAGATTGGTGGGCAGGCGATACGAGGAAAAGTTTATAGGTTTTACGTAAGCTTTTGACTCGTTGGAGCATATTTAGCCGCGGCGACTCGTCCCGTACGGTCAAATCGAATCGACGAAACGTCTCGGTTGGGTGGTGTTGTTGTTTGATCGTGGGGAGAGAAACGGAGTGTGACGAAATTCCAATCGAGATCGAATAAGTATGAGCTTGCACGATAAGTGATTTTTCTTCCTAACCTTCGTGGCGTGATCGTATATTTGTAGGTGAGAAACAAAATTTCCTTTTTTCTTTTTTTAATTATATTTTTATATTGAAAATGTCGTTACATCGATGAGTGAGATTTTTCTTTTTCTTTTCTTTTTTTTTTTTTTCTTTTTTTCTTTTTGTCGCTATTCTATATAGGTAAATAAATCGAGAAAAGACATTTTTTTTCTTCTATAATATATTGCGATATATATTGCTATTCAACAAATGGGATAGGAGATTATTTTTTTTTTTTTTTTTTTTTTTTTTTTTTTAAATCGTTTTGCAATATGATTTACCGTTATCGAAGTTTTTAAGGATACGTTCGTGGACATTGCTTTTAACATTGCGAGGATGGCACGCAAACGCCATTATTATTTCTGAGATAGCCTTGCTCGCATCGGCAACCTCCGGTCAACGACCACGTGCATTCCTGCGATAAATTAAATTACTTCAGAATCTTGTCACATAATTGATTTAACGTAATGTTTTTTTTTTTTTTTTTTTCTTTGCGATGCTTACGATTCTCGGGCAAAATATACGATTCGGATGTGGAGCGTCGCAAGATGGCTCGCACAACGATCCACATATGTATGGTCTTTCATTTTCTTCGCATCTTATATTTTCCTCGTTCTTTTGTGCATCGACATCTGTTTACGAAAAGCGTAAACATAAATAAAATCGCAATATTTTTCGAAATTGAAATCGTACTTCCAATTGGAAGTTACGCTAAAAGACCGATACTTAATTCTTATTTTACTTTCGAAGAGAATATTTTACTTTTGTTAGAAAGTCAACGATTGCAAATATTTGAATTATTTCGAAAATTTCGTTGCGTATATATTTATTTTATTTAGCGAAATATTTTTTTTTTTTGTTGCTTATAACGAATTATTTAGCATTTAAATAACGTCGTATTTTGTCATGCAATTATGGGAATTATAAAAAAAGCATATAATACTTACAAACAGCGAGGAGTGTAGCAATAAGTATACACGTAAAGATGTAGCGGGGCATATTCTTCTTTCAAAGTCGTTTTCGCTTCTACTGTCGGAAGCTATCGAAATTCCTGTTTTTTATACTTCTTTTTCTTCTTCCACATCTTAAACACACATGTTTGTCCGCGTGAATATAAATTCTCGAAGATAACACGCGTGACAAATAACGATCTATCCATCTTGTGTCATTACCCATACGAGGTGTTGTCAAATAACTAAAACTAGCTAATAAATATATATTTTCATTAACTCGAAATTACCGGTACTTTGTGTTTATTACTTCGTTGCCAGCTGTGTCAATTTTTCAGATAACGACTTTTGCTTCGTGCAAGAAAGAACATCGTGTTTCGATGGCAGGGAAGAAGAACAAATATTCTTAAACGATAAATCATTGAACAAATATTCTTCAAATTGTTAAACAAAGAAAACAGAATATTTCATTTATTTGCAAATGAGATTATTTTATACCAGTTACACCTTTGTCGATGGGACACGTGTATAAATGTATAGCTCTCTCTCTCTATCTCTCTCTCTCTCTTTCTCTTCTCGGGAATCCTTCTTAAATTTTCGACACGTATAACGCGCTGTGTATACACGTAACCCTTTTGTTGTTCAGGATCAGGATACCTGGAAAACCTTTCGAAAACAGAATTTGTCTGGTTGTGCCGGGATTAGTATATAGTCGAGTATAATCGAGGGAGGGAAATTTTAATGACGCGATTCAAACTCGAATTAGAAATATTCTTTTATCGGCCAATTTTCAACAATCAATTTCACTTTAACCCTCGTGAAAGTCTTTGGTCAAACAATTCATCCATCCGAGAAAGCTTGTCGCGCCTTGTAACTTTCACGGAAACCTATTGACTTTAAATTTACCTTAGAGATTTCACCATTTAACATCGTATATTCCTCGTAAGAAATGTTATTCCCCCCATCTACGATCGCGATGTCATCCTCTTCCCAGTAACTCGCTTGCCACGCAATACTCGCTCGAATTTATCCAAGATTCCTTTATTTATTTACCCTAAAAAGAGATCGAGGAGAGAGAGAAAGAGAAGAAGTCATTTCGAATCCATTTATGGAAAAAAATTCGAGACGTCACCTTATTAAAATTCGTCGCCTTATTAAAATTCCTTAAAAAATTACATCACCCATTACTTTTTAATCTCCACGAAATTCCTCGCGAGGAATAACATCTCTCTATCCAAAATCGTCACCAGATAATTTTACACCTGTTCAACGATTTATCGGCCGAGTCACGGGGTCGCACGAGACCCTCCCGAAACGAAATCCCTCTCGAATCTCCTCGGCCCACCCCCGTGAAATAATAATCGCCGGTCAGGTAACGTTAGGTCCCTCGAATCCGGTAATCTTCTTAACGAAGAATCGTCCTCCCTTCTTGGACGGAGCCACTCCACGCTCGGATATCCAATAAGCGCACGGCCATCGTGTATATACGCTTGTCTATTCTCCCGAGAGATGAGACTCGTGACCAAAGCGCCTCGTGTCGCGAGATTGGCAAGAGAGAGAGAGAGAGAGGACATAGAAATAAGAGTAGGAGGAGGAGGAGGATAGATACAAGGGAGAGAAACAATCCCATTCGAAGAGCCTTGTGGCTCTCGCTCGAGGGTTCGAAAAAGGTCCCGGATTGAGGACGAACGAGTGGCAGGTGCGTCTGTTTCTAGGATGAGGCCTGCTTTGGGGAGGGACCCTTAATACGGTATTTCATCGGTCATAATGCGTCCCCGCAGTATCTCGAACCCGCTCTTTGTCCCGCTCGAACCAAATGGTGGATGGATACCGATGTCTCTCTCTTTATCTCGTTCTTTATCGTTTTTCTTTCTCCGTTTTCGTTCTTCCGCAAAAGTTATTTTTTTTTCTCTTTATTTTGCACGCGTGAAACAAAACCTGTTCCTTGGAGGAGGAGGAGAAGAAGATCGGTCTCTCTCATTACGTCTTGGAAGTCACGTTGCCTTAACCGGCGAGTGGCATTTTTTTTCCTTTTTTCTTCTCTCTCTCTCTCTCTCTCTCTCTCTCTCTCTTTCTCCATTCGCAGCTTCTTTCATATATATGGGTTACCGGAGAAAGTTTGGCAAAGTTGCACGAATCGATATATATATATAGAAAGAGAGAGAAATCATATCCTCGACTCGATGAAACGAATGGTTGGAGGAAGCACGAGTGTTTTTGGTGGTCGGGAATCGTTCGATTAACGGGAAAGTTTTCGAAAATTGGAATTCTCGAACTCTGCAGTTCCTCTCGAAGCAAGAGGAGGAGGAAGAAGAAAAGGGAGGAGAACGATCGGGAAGGGATTCTTTCCGAAACTTTCTTTTTCTGGGACCTCTTATCCTCCTCCTCTCTCTTTCTCTCTCTCTCTCTCTCTCTCTTTGTCCCGCTCGCAGGAACCGTGGTGGCAAACTTCTCTCCGACGACGATCGTCCTCCCTCTGCCCGGCCTTTGTTCTCCACGTGATATTGCACGTCGTCGTCTAGACCCCGAGGGACAATGCGCGTTGCTATTTCGGTAAAACGCGACTGATTATTCGAGATACGCGAGCGGGCCGAATAATGCGCGAGAGCGAACAAAGCGACGTGACACCGATGCCGTAGGAATCGGGCTTGGGCTCATTATTAACGCCCGGTGCTATGCCATGCTATTGTGTCTCTCTCTCTCTCTTTCTTCCCTCCCCTTCTTTTCACGTGCGGCTCTCTCGTTTTGTCACGTTCCGCGCAAACAACCCGGGGAAAATTGTCCACGTTCCTCAGACTCGTTGATAATTCGCCGCTGCGGTTACGTGGTGAAACGGGGGGAGAGAGTGTTTCTTGAGTTGGGGGTTGTTGATGGTGGTAGTAACCTTGGACGAGGATCTTTTTTTTTTTCTTTTTCTTTTGAAGAATGCGAAGAAAAATTATTGGGAAGGGAGGGGGGAAGAGTTAAGATATAAATCGAAAATTTAAATTGTTTTTATATATCGAATAAGGATCCGGAATTAATAATTCTAAGATGTGAAAGAAACGGGAATATCAAGATTTCTTTCGAAGAAAAACGTGATTATCTTCGCTTCGATATTATAATCAGAGTTGATAATTTTCGTTCGAAGCGCACGAGAAAGAACGAAGGTGTCTTAAGATTTTTTTTTTTTTTTTTAGTAAACAAGGGTTACAAGGTTGGATGATATTTCTAGAAGTGAGAAAGAGACAGACTGTTCTTCGTTAGAAAATTACGTAACCACGGTCAGCGGTGGCGTTGCCATTCGTAGCAGATGCTTTGGAACGCAGGCCATTAGACTTGGTAGAAAGGACCCTTATCCTCGTTTCGCAGGGTCATTTGATCGGTTGGAAAGGTATGCAAATTGTAAGAGAGAAAAAGACCAGGTTTCGATTCCGAACGCCTGTGTTGTCCGAGACCCTCGAGCCTTCCTTTTTTCCTCCTCTTTCCTCCTTCTTCCCTTGCTTAAAGATAATTCTGCTCGAGCTTTCGTTTTTCCTGGGCGGCCGCCTTCTCCCCTCTTCAACTACGCTTGCCAAATTGAAAAAGAGCGACGAGGAACGATCGAACGTTCGCTGATACTACTTTATGTTGCGGTGTGAAAGAAGGCAAAACTAGGAGAGGACAGGGTAAGAAATTCGATGGAAATGTTTATCGATTATGTTCTGTTTTTTTTTTTCTTTTTCGATATAAATTTTAGTCTCTCTCGCGTAATATATTGTAATATGTAATATATTCGATTACGATATAATTTTAGTACGCATTTATGCACGTTTGGAAATTTTCAGTATCACAAAATTGATTAATCATTCGAACGTGAAACGATTAATATTTAATTGGAGAATATTTATTTCAAAGTCACGCGAAATCTTCTCTACGTGTAAACTTTTATTCGAAATAACAAAGATTCATAACCGTGAAATTATATAAATAAATTTATACAAAGTTTCGCTCATAATCATTAGTCATAATGAATCATATTCATAGTCGATCATTATTCATCTATCTATGTGTAGAATGTTGTTGCCACGAAGGATAAACAATTTTAATTAAATCAATTGATAAAAAAGACTAGGGAAAAAAAAAAAAGAGTTTTCCATTTGCAAAGTTACAAAGTCCATCAAAGTCGGCGCGAAGTCGTGCAAACATGAATTTCGATTAACCGAATGAAAAATGAGTTGAAAATTTGCAAGAATAAATTCATGAGAACCAAGAAAAGCATTCATCGTCAAGGAATCGAACTTAGAATCGATCTTAATCGAATCTTTCTAGAAAAATAAAAACGGTATTCCATTTTCCAAATCGTCCCTTAAAATTTCATTATCGTTTATTAAAAATCAAAATTACGTGAATTCAGAATAGAATATATATAACCAGGAGAAACCAGAAACAATTTTCCTTAAAAACATTGACCAATAAGTGATCGAGCGATTTGATTTCCTTTTTCCTGCAGCGAGGTTTCCTCGCTACGAGGCTGAATGAGATGCAAAAATCGATCGATCGATCGATCGGTTACAAGAACCTCCGAATTCCAGGGAGGACGACGAGGAAGAAAAATAAGCAGGGCGAGGAATGGAGGAAGAAAATGTGTTTCTCTCGCCCATCCCGGCGTGTTCTCCCTCCGTTATTTCTCGCCGATTCCCCGTTATTGACGGCGGTGGTCGCGTTAGAAAACTCGTACGAATTTAATGTACCATAACAGAAATATTGCAACCCCCATAGCCAACGACGATCTTTTGTGACGATCGCGTTGCCCATACTCCCATACTCGTCGAACCTCCTCTCTCTTTCTCGTGGAGGCCGCCCTTTTTACCTTTCCAGCCCGTTAACCATAATTCGCGCACCGTGCTACACACGCCTCACACCCCTCCTCCCTCTTGGATACCACCGAGATACATCCGAGTAGTAACGATTTAATATCGACGTTCGGCGAGGAATCAGTCGCGAGGATGGTGGTTCCCATCGATTCTCTGAGCTTTATCGTATTGGATCGTTCGAGGGAATGTGTTATGTGCCCGACTTTGAATCGTATACTTTTTTCTTCTTCTTCTTCTTTTTAAAGGAATACGAGAGGAATAAGGTTTTTATAAGGGTGGGAGAGGGACCAACTGGGTGCCCTTCGGGTGACATTGGATGCCTGTGACGCGACCTCAGCGACTTTTTATAGCGATCTACAGGGTGACCTAGGGGTGTGGAATAAGTGTTTGAAATAAGTCTATATATAGGGATGATATTGGTCCGGTGAAAAGATGAATTTCGAGAGGCATCGATTTCATTTTTACGCGATCGCTGAGAAAGCAGCCTGGTCCAGGGGTAAATTTAAATTTCGCCTGCATCTCTCTTTCTTCGCTCGGAAGAGGATAAAAACATCCCCTAGAGGAACTCTCTCGCATGCAAAAAAAAAAAAACATCTGCTTCCAGTCAACTGTGAAGCATCATTGTTCAAAGTGTCATCCTCATCTCCTTCGAATCCTCGCGTTACGCTTCACGTTTCTGAAAATAACGTAGCAAGTTTTCCCTTGGATCGTTTTCTCTCTCTCTCTCTCTCTCTCTCTCTCTCTCTCTCTCTCTCTCTAAGATATTCTCCCTTTTCTCGTTGTTCCATCATTGTAACGTCTAATACGGATTTAAACAAAATTTATCACGCTACATAGACTAGATTGATTTTCGACAATCGATTACGAAAACCAATGTGCAAGAAACGAGATCGAAAATGACGTGCAGGCTCGTCGACAAGAACGTTCCAGGTGAAACGAAGGAAAGGAACCGAATGGAAAGGATTTCCCCCTCCCCCTCTCCTGGGAGCTGTGTTTACCAGTTTCTCAGGATTTTCATTGGCAATGGGGAGAAGAGGCTGGGGTGTGTGCCCCGTCAGGGGTCCTCCTCGGCGTGTGAATCCGGCCAGCGGCCTTTCCACTCGCTCATTTTTGCCCTGCGTGTCGAAAAGGAAACGAGGAGAAGAGGAAAGTCGAAGGGAAAAAAGGAAACGAAGGGAGGAGAGGGGAGGAAGGGGCCCTCCCTTTAATGCCTCGCGGCAAAATTCGCTAAATGCTCGAGAGAGCAGCTGCCGTTGCCGATTCTCTCCCTTTTCTCCTCTCCCCCCCCCCCCCCCCTTCCCTCTCTTCCTTTCCTGTTTTTCTCCCTTCACGATGTTCGTCGCCTCTTCCACCTTGCCAACCCGGCGGTCCCGTTACACTACCACCCCATTTCCGCGCCTCGAGAATCCACGCTCCGCACTTCCGCCGCCGCCATTGCCCTGTCCACGCCTTTCCGATTATTCAGCGACAAAGGAAGACAAAGCGGCGGAGAAATATAAATACTCGCCAGGCCAGGAAACGAGCCACCAGGAGGGGGTCAACTCTCCAACTTTCGATGACGTGTTATATTTTTTTCCCCGATCTCCAACGCGCTCTTTCTTCTTCCCCCTTTCTTCTTTCTCTCTGGACGAAAGATTTTGTCGCGATTTATGAGGTTTTGTCGCATCCCCCTCGTGGCTTCTACGAACGAGCTTCTTCTATCTTTGTTAAATTTTTGATTTTTTCTTTCTTTTTTGGTAATATTGTTTCCTTGGTTTGGAATTTAAAATTTCCTCGAATTTTTTCCTAATTTCTTAATTTTGTTACGAGTCGTCGTAATCAAGGGTTAAATTATTCAAGCTTTTGAAGGATATTTAATCAAAGCGCTATCCATTTGGATAATTTTAATTGAATCAAACGAATTTGTGTTTCTTTATGATCTCTCAAGTTTAGAATTTCACTTTACGATCTTTACATATCCACATTTATTTGTAACGGAATGCAAACAATGTAATCCAGTTCTTCGAATCTTTTGATTCGATTCAATTATTCCACATTATTACTGTTTGAAAAAGGGTTCGCTTCACCGCCAACCGTTTAGAACGCCACATCGAATTCTAAAACATCGCCACCGTTCCACTTTGCGTATCGGGTTTAAAGTCGTTGCATGAATCAGCGAGGCGAAACGAAGCCGCGCGCGAGTTTGAAAAGTGAGTCGGCTCGAACGAATGGTTAAGACCCCCACGATTGGCAAACATCGTCGAAGCGCGGAGCCAGTTCTCCTCCCTATCTTATCGTCCAATAATGCGTTTCGAACGCGAAACCTAGTTTCCTCCGTGGAAACCTATTCCTCCAGCCATGGGAGAAACAATACTTCAAGCCGGTTCTATCTTATCGGCTCGTAAACCGTCGGTATGCGACAGCTATTCTGCATTTGCGTTTCGTGGCTGGAACTCGGTTGCCGTAATAATAATTTTCCATTCCATTAATTGGAAGAGGATACAACGCGCGGTATGTGAAAGATAAGGAGACATTTTTGAAATATTAATTATCAATGTAAATAATAATTAGAATTGTTTCATCTTTTCGTTTCCCTATTTTTTTTTTTTTTTAAATTTGCTTTCAACTTCTGTGTCTATAGATTTTTAAATAGATCGAAAATTAATAGAATTAATAGTATCACTCGTGTTGCTTTTTTTCAACTGGTCAAGAGAGATTATATCGAAATTTATTATATGAATTTTCCATTGTAATTTATCAGACTGGGGAAATCGGGTATCAAATTTCAATCTTCCTCGAACTATTCCTCCACTTTGTCGGTTATCAAACTGCACGGTGCTCGAACAATGGAGCACGTGGCGTTACGATACCTGTAAACCTATTTGAGAGAGTCCGCGTTTTATTGTATACGTGTTTTGCCCAGGCCACAAATCATGAATAACACAACGTTCGTTCTTTCTTGAGATAACGTCGAGCGTGTTTCGTTAATGTTCGCCAAGGCAACGAACACGTACGGATTTTTAACACGAGCCTATGGCAAACAAATCCGGGGACCAATTAACGCGATTATTGTTCGAACTCGAATCGGCTGCTATTTCCACGGCCAAGTAGGGCAAGGCGATTTCCTTTCTCTCGATGATGTGATGGCTCAACTTGCTAATATTTGCCATCGAGAAGGGAAAGCTTTTCTCTTTTTAAAAAAAAAAAAAATTCTCCTATCGTTATCGCCTTTCTTATCTTTGGTATCCCATCTTCCGTTCACTTCAATATACCGCGCAATATAACCGTGGAAAATAACGAATAATCGAGGATTGGGCAATTTGAAAGAATGCAGAATGAGAAAGGGCAAGCATTTATTTGAGCATATTTAAAATTCACTTTCAGAAACTATCAAATTGTCAATTAACGATCGCGCGTAATGTCTGGACAATGATATTTTTCTCTTTTTATCGCTAGTCGTTTCGTATTTTTATTCGCGCTTATTTATATATAGTAAATAATTACGGGCCCGCAAATTTTCAACGTTTTTCATTTTCTTTGCCTAAATCGTTAAATCGTTCGATCGTCGTTCGATTGACGGTGTTCGTTATTTTACGATCGAAATTATCCACGTGTACATGGAGAATTTACATCGATCTTTTCTATTAATTCTATAAAAGCGATTACGCAGTCAATTGTACACAACGAGAATCGTTGTCGAACCTTTTGCATTCTATGGAAATCGTCTTGCGTCGCAGGTTATGCAAATTTCAAGCCGAGTTGCTTTGCAAATGGCGCGCGCGCGCGCTCAACCGCGAGTTTCCGCGGTTCATCGTTCTTTTTGATCCACGTATTATTTACCCTTACGTGGCATTCTTCTCTCTTGGAGAGAAGAATCGCGATTCACAACTCACGTAAATGAAAATTAATACTCTCCAATACATTGAAAACTATCATTTTTCCAGATATATTTCACCCGCAACATACCATTTTCTCGAATCGTTAAATCGTTATTTATCCTTCGCACTTTTGAAACCAAGAGGGAAATTCATTCATTTCGATAAAAACGACAAAAACGAGCGACGAAAATCGTTCCATCACTTCCAATCCCGGCTCGATATTTCCAGCTCCTTCTACACCTTCGAAGCTCGAAGCTCGTAAAAAAAAAAAAAAAAAAAAAAAAAGTATCACGCGTGTGGAATTCGCCAAGATTTACGGTACAGGCTCGTTTGCAAAAGTAGCTCGCGGTGACACGGTCGAACGAGGTTGGCGCGCGTTTGACAAATGGATCGAAATTACCAATTATCCCCGGCCGTTTCGTCGAGGCTTTGCTTTTGATAAAGAGCGCGGGGACTGGTTCTCTCTGAAATCGAGCGTGAACGTTCGATCGTGATAATTGGAACGTGGACGGTGGCGGCCGGTTTTTGCGCGCCACACGCGTGTCGTGCGCTGTTCTCGATCCACGATCCTCCGCTCGAATCGATTCGTAACTCGCGGTTACTCGTATCGTTCACGCGCCATCGACGTCACGAAGAACTGGTCGAGAGGGGAGGGGAGGGGAGGGGAATGGGCTCACGACGAGGAGGAATGGATTTTGCATTTGCGCGTGGGCGTGCGTGCGTTGGTGCGCGCGTGTTAGTGGTGGCCGAGCGTGAAAAGTAAATCAACATCGAGCACGCTCGGTCTACGAGGAGGCCATTGTGTCGTTATTATTGCCATTAGTTATTACATCTGGTACGCGTGTGCTCTTTGCTTACAACTTTTCCTTCCCCGCCGCGCGTGATGTATTCGTTTGTTCAACCCTTTCGAGCGTGGTTAGACCTGGCATAAATAAACTCTCTCTCTCTCTCTCTCTCTTTCTACTTGCCTTTCTTTTTTTTTCAAAGATGCCGAGAGAGTTCTTGTTGTTGTAACCATCGACTTTAACACTGTTCGAAATTGAGTACCGTGCTTGTTTCTTTCTTTCTTTCTTTTTTTTTTTTTTTTCGTATTGATCTTGCAAACGGAGAGTAACTTCGTGTTCGAGTATTTTTGAAAAGTGTTCTTTTAATACCTCGAACTAATTATCAAATTATCAATTAATTTTTATTTTAACGCGAACGACACGAATCTTCTTTATCTCTATTTTTGGGGGAGGATTTCGGATCGTGTATTATTGAAGGAGTAGAAAAATTTTGTCGATAAAAAAGAATAAGGGAATATATTATTATTCATCTAACGAATGTCGTTTTCTGTTGCAGGTAAAATCCAACTTGTCGCCGATCCAATGTCTCACATTTAGGAAACTTGGTGGTAGGTAATCCCGCGCCCGAGAAACCAATGTCTCTCCCCCTCCCAAGCTCGACTCGGGGGAGAGGAATTTCCTGCGGTCCGGTGACTTTTATCGAGAACACCATTCCCGTCCGCCTTAACACCCCGTCGGGGAAGGAGCCGTGATTTATACGAGCTTGATCGGCCGTCCTAAGCCTCTCTCGTTAGAATCGATTGCGCCAAGGGGTGGACGTGCTCCCTTTCTCTCTCTCTCTCTCTCGAAACACGACCCCCCATCACCACCCCCTCCCCTCTTTCGGTCACGTCCCCCTGGAATTAGGTCGTCTCGACGTTTCGATCAGATTTCTGGAAACAATTGGTTGGTCGCGTGGCCGTTAAACTCGTCGCAAACTTGCCCCCAAGAATTTCTTCTACCCCTGCGGAACAACTTCCCTTTGGAGGAAAACAACAACAACAACAGGAAAAAAGTTGCTTCTCTTTCGTTCCAAGAAAATCTTTCTGGAATTATGCGTATCTTTCTTTTGACGGAGAAGAAGTTTTCCCTCAAATTTATCGGCAATACGTGATATTTGTTAAAGGTGATCGTCAAGTTATATTATTTCCTCTTCTTTCTTTTTTTACATTACTCTCGAAAAAACTTGCTTACTTTCAATCTCAAATCGAAAAACTTCTCTAGCCAAGGGATGTGCAGAGGAAGCTAAGGGCAAAGAGAGAGAGAGAGAGAGAGAGATAGGCTTGGCCGGCCGATTGGCACGAAGATCACACGCCACGATCATTAAACGTTCCATTCGCGCAGAGATTGGCTCGTTAGTGGCGCGTTCATCTCCGGAATCCGCGGCGGGAATAATAATAGAAGGTGGTGGTGGTAGTAGTAGTAGTGGAGCCCCCGTCCAGAGGAGGGAGGGACGTGTATCGTCTCCTTAACGACGTATCCCTCGACCAACAACTCGAATCAACAATTTATTGTCCATCCCACGGAGAAGATCAATACCGGCACAGAGAAGACCACCTCTCTTCTCACCCCTCTCACCCCATTCCCACGTTCAAATTGAAATCTATTCTCTCTCTCTCTCTCTCTCTCTCTCTCTCTCTCTCTCTCCTCTCCTTTCTCCTGCTCTCTCTCCTCCTCTCTCCTCCTCTTCTCGTGCGTTGCCGTATCGTGCACGCGTTGTTGTATGTCGGTTGATTGCCGGTCGGCCGGTTGTAGGGAACGTTCGATGCATACGCCGGCGTGGAACGATTGCGGGAGACAGCGGCAACGACCGACTTCAAGGTAGCTTAAGCCAGTCCACGGCTTATGTAAGCTGTTTCGAGGTCTGGGGGAGGATCTATGCGCGCTTCGTTCGCCGCCCGGTACACGTAAATTATGTAGGACTTCTCGATTAAATGGATTCACGGCGGTATTAGCGGGATCAGTTTCCGGTTTCCTGGTTTGTTAGAGGTATGCGGGCTACTTTTGATCCAGGATTATTTTCATTATACTTGGCTGCTTTTTTTTTTTTCTTTACACGCGTACTTTCGTCCAATAATTGGGTAATTTTTACTCGATACGTTTCGAATGTTCACGTTATTTTGACGATTTGTCGTGTAAATGCTTCGTATAAAGTTTCTATTAATTCGAAAAAGAAATTAATTAACGAGAGGTGGTGATCCTCTTGTGATAGAAATTACATTTGCGCGACGATCCATCGAAATTATGAATGGAGTGGGGGAAAAATTAAGATATATATATATATAGTGAGACAGCGTCGAAATCGAATAACGAATTCCAAAGATGTTGGAAACGGATGCATCTGTCATTGGAGGAACGATAATTAAGCGACGTTGATTAGACGTTGGATCGATGAACGAGCCGAAGGTTCGTTGTAAATTACGCGATGACAAAGCGTGGCTTTGCCAGCGAGTTGCGCGATTAAAGCGTTTGCTCGATAAGTAACCGTCGGAACAGATGGAATATTCATTTGGAAAAGGGGGAAATCGTCGAGCCGTGACGGGCGATCGTAGCTCATTTCTATTCCTTGAATGAGTCTCGATGAATGGGTGCCGATATGTAACGTTCGATTAGCCTCGCGTCGAGAGATAGCTGGTGTACAGTCGAGTATTTCAGATCGATTATTTGTTTCAGGCCGAGTAAATGGAAAATTTAATACGTACGAACTATGGTAAAATTTACAGAGTACGATAACAAAAGCTTTCCGTTTAATTTTTCAGTAAAAGTAAGATGGATGGATACGTGTCGGTTCGTTACATTTTCGTTGAAAAAGAAAATCACAACAAATTTATCTTTTTCCATTGAAAACAATATTCAAATTGTATTCGAAACATTTTATGATAATTGCAATTTGAGCGAACGGAAAAGAAATATTATATAAATTTTTCTATGCTACTAATTTTTTTTTTTTTTTTACAAAAATCGTAATTTTATTTTCAAAAACTCGCGATAATTTAACCCATTATATATTATCTTTTCGTAGATCTATCTCCGTAAGAAAAAAGAAGGGTACGAATTTAAATTTTCCACTTAAACACGTACGCCTGAACACGTACGCAATTCTTGTAAACAAATTTTATTTAATCCTCTCGAGTGTTGACGAATTTTTCCAAGGAAATCATATAAATATATACATATATATATATATATCGATAACCGGAATAGTTGGCAACAAGTTTGCCAATACATATCGCGGCTCGTACACCGGCCAAACCGGAATATCTCGTTCCCGTTGCGACAACTTCCGTGACGAACTGAATTCGAAAGCTGAGCTGGCGGGAATGCAGCCCTCCCACTCGGCGCAGGAAACGAATTTCACGTACGTACAACTCGGCGATGAATGCGCGTTGACAACGATTTATGCTTGGAGAGGATGTCGAACGATTTCTAAACGGCGTCCAGAATTCCGAATTCTCGTAAATCATCCGTGCGCGGGACGATTGCTGTGGAGGAAGGTGGTGGAACGTAGGTGGATAGATGGTATGCAGAAATTCCAAGCTTATTTTATTCATCCGCGACGCAAAATTAAAAATTGATTAATTATCGAATATCGAGTTAAATCGTTGTTTTAACACTTTCTTTTTTGCAATTTTTTGATTATGCATAAAGCGTTAATGTTAGTTTCTATTCGGATGATGGTTTAATTTTATAGCGTATCATGTATTTGTAATTCTTAAATTATGAATGTATTAATATGTTAATGTCGCGAGACTAAGCTTTTCATTTCTAATTTATTTACAATTATTTTGACATTTTCTTCTTTGATAGGTCGTCTTGCACAAGCAAGAAAGGAACGTATCTATCCTGGGAACAACTTTGTCGAATCGATATTTTCGATGTCATTAACAACCGGCTATCTTGTCGACTTCCTGTGTCGCGGTTCATGGAGTTCCACGCTGTGGTTATCAGCAACAATATATATTATACTCTTCATAGTTAAAATATCTTATTTACCATATTTTTTCATCGAAGATATATTACAATAACGTTCCTTAACTTATCGAAATACAATTAAAATGCGTTCTTTGCCTAGAAATCTAGAATTAGATTTTTATTTTTCGAAAATCGTGCAAAAGATATTACTATAATTCTTTCAGTTTTCAACGAAGTACGTAACTTTAAATATTATCTTATTGTCCTCTAAAAAATATATTCTTTCACTTTCGTATTGCTTCAAACACCGTTGTAATAATTGAATTAATAAGTTAAGAAATTTCACTTTCGATTAATTTTTCTTCTTCGATCTCTAGAATCAACTCTGTGTACGCACCTATTGCCGACAATTCCATTCGTCGAAAGGAAAAAATCGGTCGATACCTTCATGCCCCCAGGCTGTTATTTTATTCTCGTTATCGCCGATTTATTAGTCGCGATGCGAGAGAAAAATCGCAAACCCTTTGCGTTCCTGCTCGCAACTGCTGCAAACTCTCGAGGCGCCTCTCGGAGGCACCTTTCTTGCGAACGCGGGCAACGTATAATTAGACGCAATTGTCGAGTTCTCCTAGGTTGGATCGGTTGTGATCTAATTGCCCGATGATGTCTACTTCTCTCGGGTGGATAATTTTCGAGCCATGATTCTGCAACCGTGTCGGGGGCACAACCGATGAAAGTGAACGGCTACCACCTCGCCTCGCACCAACACTTTTTCCGCTCTTTTTTATTCCCCCTTTGTTTACCTATTCTGGAACGCTTAGAGGGAATGTTATGTAAATGTACAAAAGAAAAAAAAAAAAAGGAAGAGAAAAAAAGAATGCAAAGAAAATAACGAAAATCTTTGATAATCGTATTTTGCATAAAATACACGCGCGTGCTCTCGACGATCGATGAAAATTTATTTTTCGAAAATTTGAGAGCGGGAAAAATAGAAAATTTTTTTTTATGGGCCCAATCGAGAAATGTTATGACAAAATTTCAGGGGAAATTGGCGCGATGTGCAAATTATCGGTAATACCGTGGAAGCCTCGATCGATAAACCTTCAGAATTCCCCGCCCATCGTCTCTCTCATTTACCTATTCGTCCCATAGTTAGTCTTCCTGCAAACTTTTCGATCGAGCTCCGTCCAACTTTCGTACTCCGACCCTGCAACGGACATTTAAATGCAAATACACTTTTTACTTATATTTATATGCAAATTCGAGCGTTCCCCGGGGGACGGGGAGAGAGAGCCGAGAGACGCCACGCGAATGGAAACGGCGCTGAATTGAAAGGCGAGAAAAAGGCAATGGCTTTCGTGATACCTTGCAATTATATCGCGTGTCGCTTTGTCGTGGTGTTGGTTAGACGGATACCAAATAACATAGAAAATAATAAGTTAATTCTTAGTAGGAATGCGTTAGATTAGAGAATAACGAATTTCAACAGAAATCTTTGAGAGGGCAACTAATAAATTATAAATCGCGAATCATCGAATTTCTTTTTACAATTTTGTAAAATTCGTAAAAAATTTGTCTCCAGATCAAAACACTGAACGATTTTGTCGTGGTGTTGGTTAGATACCAAATAACATAGAAAATAATAAGTTAATTCTTAGTAGGAATGCGTTAGATTAGAGAGAATAACGCATACCTTTCTAAAATTTAGAATTTCAACAGAATCTCTGAGATGGCAACTAATAAATTATAAATCGCGAATCATCGAATTTCTTTTTTACAATTTTGTAAAATTCGTAAAAAATTTGTCTCCAGATCAAAACACTGAACGATTTCTGAATATGGGCCAAAAGTATCTCAAGAAATTGGAGAAAAATTTGAATGATTTCGAGATAACATTCTCTCGAGTGAAATTATCTTGAACGTTTGAAGATAAGGAGAGGATCGATTTACTTTCTCTGGGAAGACGGTTGCATCCTTCCGGTCGGGCAAAAAGACACGTCGTTTCGCGGATCCTCGATCACACCAGTAGTTCGGTTATCGTTATCGGTTATCTAAAATTCTCTCCACGTTCCGTGTGTCGGAAGCAGGTTCTCGTGGCGCGGAGATAAAAGAAGCTGCCACGTTTCTTTATCTTTCCACCGATTTCCTTTCCTCCACCGATGCAAAGATTCGTTTACTTGTCGTCGGACAATGCGAAAATACAGCGAGAAAGATGAACATAAATTAAGGAAAATGGTGGTTTGCACTTTCGATTGTCGAGATAGAATCGATTGGAGATTTGCTTTGTTGATTTTATTTTTAAACCTAGCGTAATTAAAATATTTAAATAGTTGTCGCTTTAACCATAGTATAATATTCCTTCGATAAAAAAGTCCAACTAGAAAGAGAAAAAAAAGATTATAAAAGTCACGTATATTTATAAACGAATAAAAATATCGAAATAATAATATTTTGCAAACTTGGCTCGAATTAGTATATTCAATAAAAAAAAAAAAAAAAAAAAAAGAAAATAAATAAATGAAAATAAAAATTCGAGGAATCATTCTCGATTCTCGCGGAATCATCGAAGGAGAGATCTCGGAATCGGCGACGCCAGCGAAAGAGAGGAGGGATATTTAAAATGTAGATGCACTCATTTAAATACCGTATTCGCGATTTAATCGTTCCTTCCTCTCTCCTCCACCCTTTCTTCCTACACCTCTCCCTCCCCGCCATTATCCTCCGACAACGAGAGATTCTTCTTCGGAAAGAGGGAGAAAGAAAGAAAGAAAGAAAGAAAGGAAGAGAGAGGAGGGCCTGTGTAATCCGAAAGTTGTCAGCCGCACATCGCGTATTTGCTCTAATGGAATTTGAATGTCGTTAGTCGAAGTAACCGGGCGTGAGGAAAGGGATCTTATCCCTATTACCGCCTCGATCCCCGTCGATTCCTCCTGCTGGTGGATGGGCCTCAGCCGCAGGTATCTTCGTCCGTTGGAAAAAAAAAAAGCGATATATAGGTTTGGCGGACGAGAGGTGTATATTAGGGGGAGAGGGCGTGCGCGAGGGAAAATCGTTTTCATCGCCTGTTTTCGAACCGTTTGATCTTTTGTTTCCCCCCCCCTCCTCCTCCTTCCTATTTTCTACGTGCTCTCTTTTGTTCATTCAGGGGCGAACGATTCGAGGGGGGAGAAAGGGAAGACAGGAGGAGAAGAGAAGAGGGGTGTGGTGGACGGAGATACCATGGCAACGCGACGATTGTTAGACGGAAATCCTCGATGAGAAGTAGATCCACGATATTATTTCCGACGGCGAGAAGTGCAACGAAGAAACGATTCGATCTCGATCGAGAAGAAGAAGAAGAAGAAGAAGAAGGAAGGGGTGGTGAAACGAACGTAGCCGAGAATCGAAATTCGACTTGTGAAAAATGGCCGAGAAGCAAGAATTCAAGGTTCTCTTTCGAAGGAGATGGCCTCAGTATATCGGCGCGGTCTCAGGTTCCTTGTCCATTTTCGTAAATCTCATCTCGTTATCATCGCCTTTCGTTCCACGAGAATTTATTTCAATCCGAACCGTATCCATTGTAACCTATATAAAAAAAAAAAAAATCTCGGCGATATATCGTTGACGATTCCGTTGGATAGTGGCGAAGAATTTCAATTTTGGAACACGAAGATTGGAATTCTTGAAAATTCTTCACGGGTTTCGTAGAATTTTTTTTTTTTTTTTTTAATTATCAACGGATCGTCAAGACTTTCGACGAGTTCTCCGAATCTTTCGGTTATATATATATATACACATATACATTCAAACATTTCCTCCATTGCATATATAAACTCGAAATTCTCGATCCGTATCATCCCCATCATTGTTTGGAATAAATTCCGCAGCGTGCATGGGTGGATTTTCACTGGGTTGCGGTATCGGATGGAGCGCGCCATGCGTTGAACTTTTGAAAGAGGTGCACATGTACGACATATCGGCGATCGCCTTGATCGCCGCGATTTTCCCGTTGGGTGCGGCTTGCGGATTGCCAATTGTGCCATTCCTGATCGACAAGATCGGTCGAAAGTGGTTGATGCTCTCTCTGATTCCGGCCTTCATCCTCGGCTGGGTTTTCATCATAATCGGTGTTTCCGTGTTCGCCCTTCTGGTCGTAGGAAGATTTCTCACCGGCGCCTGTGGTGGGATGTTTTGCGTCATAGTGCCCATGTACTCCGCGGAGATTTCAGAGAAACAAATCAGAGGTACGAGAAAATGATGGCAAGACGATTTTTTTTCTTTTTTTTTTTTTTATTATGAAAGCCTAACGAAAAAGATAAGTTCGTATGATTTTTAACGCTTCTCGAGCGATTAACGATGATAAAGTATCTTCTCTCTGTTCAATTTATGGAACAAAAAAATTATTTATAATTTGAGAGAAATTGCTCGAGAAACGTCGAAGATCGTATCGTTTTGTTCCCTCCCCCCTCCCAATTGAAATGCAATTTTGTTATTCGATCAGGTACTTTGGGTATATTCTTCCAATTATTGCTCGTGATCGGAATCCTGTACGCTTACTGCTGCGGATACGCTAGAAACGTCGTTACCACGACGGGTCTTTGTTTAGTTGGTCCAATTCTGTTTGTTATAATGATGATATTCATGCCCGAGAGTCCTATGTTTTACATGGTAAAACGCAACGAGGAGGCTGCCAAAAAATCGATGAGATTCTTCCGAGGACCGGATTACGAAGAAATCGACGATGAGCTCGCTATATTCAAAGTTAGTGTTCTATTTTATTTAATATTCTCCATCTGTCCCATCGACAACGTGAAAAATTTATTTCACCGTCGACAATCTTATTATTATTAGATATTACGAGTTTTCAATTGTTTTCAATTGTCTCTCTTATTATTTTTGTTTAACCATAATTCGATTGAATTAATCGTCTCGATAGATTCGATCAAAAGTTTAAACAACGAAGAGATTCTCGAATGCGTGCGTAAATCATTTTTCGAGGACAGCGAATATTTGAATATTTCGTGTCTTTTTAGATAAGATTCGAAAGAATAGCGAAAGTATTATCCACAATATTTAAATTACTGTAAAATATCGAAACCGTATTTCGAGATATCCGCAAAAGTTTCTCGAGCAATCGAATAATTTAATTAACGCCAGGAACAAGTAGAGAAAAGCGCGCTCCAGCAAGTGACATTCGACGCGTTCATGAAGAAAGCTGTGCTGAAGACGTTGGGGATCGCTTATGGGCTGATGTTCGCCCAACAATTCAGCGGTATCAACGCGATCATATTCTACAGCGAGACGATTTTCAAGCTGACCGGCGTCGATATAGATCCCTTGCTGCAGATGGTGGTGTTCGCGGTGGTCCAGGTGATCGCTTGCGTCATAGCTGCTGCGCTGATCGACCAAGTTAGTTTTCCACAATTGAATCGAGTGAATGCTGCGCTTCTCGACCAATCTCTTTTTCAGATTAATCTCTTATTCGACCTTCGATATATTGTTCAAAAATATCAACGTGACAATGCGTTAATTAAGAGTTAATTTCGCGCAGCGTACACTCGTCGAAATTTCAATAAAATAAATGGAACTCTGGAAAATTGGTTAATTTTTGTAGGTGGGCAGAAAAGTACTCCTGGTAATATCTTTTGCGGTGATGTGCATCTGCCTGATAGGTCTGGCCGTGTTTTTCATCATAAAAGAAAGCAATCCGCCGGTAGCCGACACTCTATTTTGGTTACCGCTCCTTTGCGCTTGCTTGTACATCCTGTCCTTCTGCCTGGGTGCCGGTTAGTAGTAACGAAACAAATCGATGCGAAACTGACTTTTTTTTTTTTTTCTTCTTTCTCGTTTAACATGTTCGCTCCGGATAACGGTTTCTGAAGTTGAAAAATTCAAAACTAAAAATAATAAACACGAGTGACGATCAGGTAACTCGAATCGTTACATTCATTTTGGGTTCTTCCAAAATGTCTTTTTTTTTTTTTTTTTCTTTCCTTTCCAGAATATATAATACATTAATTTTAAATAAACACGGTCTTTGATGCATTCAATTGCCGCACATAATCGTTACTTTACACGTAGAGATGAGAATTTATATATTCTCCATGTCTCATCGCGCTAGTTACGCGTCCAGATCCATTCCGAGCTGAACATGTCTGTCAAATTGTTTTTTTTTTTTTTTTACACGACGAGATTTATCTCGTGGCTACTGATGATCTCGAAAGAAGAAGAAGAAAAAAAGAATACATATATTTCATCGTGTCGTCTCGAGACACGAGTTCTCGCGTTACAAGGATCATCTTTTCAAGGAGTTAAAGTGGATCGATTTCGACAATTTCGACATCGATATAATGGTATATTTTTCCGTGGAAATACAGGTCCTATACCGTGGGCCTATATGGGAGAGATCTTTCCTACCAAGTTAAAGGGGACCGCTTCCACTTCCGCAGCATTGTTCAACTGGATATTGGCGTTTATCGTGACCGTGTCGTTCTCGAGCGTGGTCGAGGCTGTCGGGATGGCACCTGTCTTCTTCTTCTTCGCGTTGATCTGCGCTTTGAGCGTGGTTTTCGTGATCTTCCTTTTGGTCGAGACAAAAGGGAAAACTTTCACCGAGATACAGAGGGAGTTCGGTACCTTCGAAATCGAGGAATAAAAAAAATATATATATATATTGAATAAAAATATATATCGAATATCTTTGAACGAGATCTAAGAGATTTATCGCTTTGTGAGCGAAAATGAAAAAATATATAAAAGGAAAAAAAAAATATATGGATGATATAAAAAATAATCATTGCCATTGTATAATGCCATTGTATAATAACGATGGAAATTTTTGTTTTCTAAAAAAAAAAAAAAAAGAGAAAAAAAAGGAAAAAAAAAAAATAAAAAGGACGCTATTGCGTGATAAAATTTTTTGTATTTATATTATGAATAGAATATAAATGTAACTCTATTAAAAGAATTATTTATATCTTTTTCGTATTATAACTAAATAAAATAAAAAGACAAAAACAATTTGTTGCACGAGTATTTTCCAGAGAGCTATTTTTTATACGTACATTCGAATCAAGATTTATAAAATACACGAAAACGTTTTCAATAAAACGAATTATATCCATCACCGATTGTCACACGCCTCCCCTCTCTGAGAGTTTCTTCAACTTGCGAGAGATTGCGAATTGAAGTTCGTATCATCATTTTTCTTCCAAATCGAAGAAGAGAAAAATTGTTGCTCGACGAGCACACGAGCACAAGCGATAAGCTAACATTGGAGGCCAAACTCGATGGATGGGCTAAACTTGAACTCGCTCGAGGACCACGTTAGAGTGCGTGTACATGGAGTATACACATCGTGCATCATCGACACGCGCATACCATGCTCTGTTCCAGCCCTCCTCTCCCTCGGCCCTACCCTTGCCACGGTTCTCGAGTCAACAATGATGCGCCTGTGGGGGCCATCGTGCGCTCCGCCCATCCAAAATGAAAAATCACCGCGAGATTAGCGTGCGACGAGAGTTATATTTATATATACATATATATACATATATATATATATATGCAACGAGGGAAGGAAGAGGGGAGGGGAAGAGTCTGACCCCGTTCGAGCGAAAAAGCCATGAACGCGTTCTTTCATGGACGTTGACCTGACGGGTTAATCGGGGAACATCGACCTATCGGCGATCAATGAGAGCCTGGTAATCGGTTCTCGATACAACACCACCACCTATAAAGCCTTTCTAGCTTCTTTCGAGAGTTGAATGACGCGATACAGGAGGAAGAGAGATATATAATTTTCACGAGGCTTTGGGCCTTTCGATATTCAGCGACGAGTAACACGGCGCAATAGCGTTATTTCTCTTTCTTCTTCGATCGTGCAGCAGTCAATTTATTCGACCGGATCAATTTCATAAGAAGATATTATTCTATCTTTTCGGAAATAATTTAACATTGAATTGATTCGTCCCATGGGGGGTGAGTAGCAGTGATGGTGGTTTGGACCAAAATGGTTCTACCGTTTTCGATTTCGGTTTCGGTAAATGGCCGGAACGCTAAGGATGAAATATCCCCTCCCCCCTCCCCGATCCACAATGCATTTGTCATGCAGTTGGCGTCGCTCGGTAGGCGTTCGCTTTCATCGATTATGCATTCGAATTTATATTTATGAAGCGTAGTAGCTTCTCGTATCGGCGTTCTAATAATGGATGCTGCTATAAACCTCTCGTCAGGGTCGGCCGTTCCATGTCGACGTACCAGGAACGCTTGCATTACTCGGTAACGGAGAGAGAGAGAGGGAGAGGGAGAGGGAGAGGGAGGGAGAGAGAAAGCGCGAAGAGTTGTCTTCACGGCTCCCGTATATATATTTTTCCTCTGTCGTACGTTTTGCGGATCCGAGCGTCTAACAAACGCTGTTTCTCCACGTGGCCGGATGTTTACGCGCGTCACGGCTCCTCGAGGGGACAGAGGAGGTGGAGGAGGAGGAGGAACGAAATGGAATCGGTGTTCCCAATCGCGTGGCAACTTTAATTTTGTTTTTTTAATGGAGAGATCGCGATGCGTATCGAGTGCTTTGCATTCCTCGCTTGTTATTGGATCGATAATTTATATAATTTCTTCGCGTCGATTTTTCAAGATACGTATATGTAAAAAAAAAAAAAAAAAGAAATATGAAGAATTGAAGATTCGTGAAAAATATTTATTTATTTATTTTTTTTAACGATATCTTGGAGAGGAAACGGAAGGTTAATCTGCGTGGTAATTTTTTTTCTTTTTTTTTTTAATTACGTACAATTGGCGGTCGAGAATTGGCGGATTGCGAATGTCGACAGATTTCAAAGGATCGGATGTCGAGAGGGTTATTATCGGTTTGGAGAGTTGGCTTCGTCGCCGAATAAATTTGCCGGTGAAACCGAAAGTAATCGAGGAGGAGAAAGGCAACCTCGTGCAAGAAACAGCCCCGGCGGGAGGTCAAGAGAGACCAGACGAGTTTTTCGCGCGCTCCGCCAAGAATCGGTCGTAGGTTCTTTCTTCGTGGGAAGAAGTTGACTTCTGGAAGCGACCAAGAGAAAAATCGCACGGTGTTTGTTCCACGATCGCCGCATGTTTGCCAGATTCTGTCGCCCGTTTCCATCTCCTTCGCTTGTATTCATCTTAATTGCACTCATTTCGTCTAACTCGTTTAACGATCGAAGGGAATTGATGATAAAATACGACTCGATCGTTACGATACAAACAAGTATTCGAAAAGAAGAGACATTAACACGAAGAATTTTCATAATTAACTCGTTTTCGGAGGAAAGTGCTTGAGAAAATCGATCGTCGATCCTAAAGGCTTGTTTATTTTCTTCCATCAATCGACGCAAACAATCTTATTAATTTATGGAAATAATTGAAATGTGATATAAGAGAAAATGGCGTATCCACCGATCAAAGACTTTTTCCCCGACTCTTTCTCCGACACACGGGACCCGAATGCAGCTGGGTATCGGTCGAAGAGAGAGCCAGTTTCGAAGTCGATGGTTCGTCTGTTGTATATTTCATGAACGGTGAGTTTCCATCCTCGTCGATGCGCGAAGAGAGAGGGACGATCGATCGAGAGATCCGCGCTGCCACGCACGATCCCATCACTGGACCCGTTTTATTATACGTGACGCTCGCGTCTGCGAAAAATTGCGTTTTTTCACGGCGCACGGGGGCTTTACGGCCCGCGATAGGGATGATTACGCCGCGACCCGTGTTTACCAAAAACCTTCCAAGCTTGTGCGCCACCCTTGCGTTTCCCCCGCATCAGCATCATCTTCGAAATTCTCTAAAAAACACGGAATATTATTTACCCTCCTTCTCCCTTAGTTGTTCTTCGGGCCAAATCTCACCCTTCTCCTTCCATCTCAAATTTTTTTGTCTTTTTTTACATCGTTACATGTAAAATTTTCTAATCACCGAAACCTCACCGAAGCTCGTGCTCTCGAGTATCCTCTTTCCTTCCGATTTGAAATTCTCCGATCTTTATCGTCGATGTACAAAAATTTGAATACTTGTTCACTAATAGTAATAATTCTAAGTGTTACATAAAACGGAGAAAAAAACTTCTCCAACGAGAATCGATAATCGAGTGGCGTTATATCACTCGTGTAAAATCTATATCTCGCAATGTATATTAATTTTCGAAGGCCGCGCGTCACGTGGGTCTCGTGATTTCCAAGCGACATCGACCAGACTCTCCATTCGCCTCCCAGTGTCACTCCATCGTTCTCCAACCTCGTTTACCTGTCTCTCCTCTCCGCTTCGACCCACACGCGATCCACGCTTCAAGGTTTCCGCTCGCGGATCGCCCCGCAGACGTCTCTCTCTCTCTCTCTCTCTTCTCTTTCCCCTCTCTGTCTCTCTCCCCGTTTCCTCGTGAGCCTCGCAAAGCCGCGCGATTGCACACTGCACCATTGCACCGCCGTGGGGCCATTGGCCTCGGTATCGTCGTCGCTCCTCGGCGACACCGAGCTCGAGCCGAAAAGCGGCGCGCCAACAGAGCGAGCTTTTTTGCGCGCCCGTGCCCCCTTCCTTCCTCCCACTCGGTTTATCGCCTCGCCGAGCCGAACGAGGACGCGGGTCACCGTGTCGCGAGCCGATTTTTCTCTCGAGGAAAGGAGAGGAATCTTTGTTTGCGAGCGATTCTCGAGGCAAACGGCGAACGACGTGTTGTTTTGAAGGAGGAGGAGGGTAATTCTCGTTGCCGAAATTGTGTGGAGTAGAGAGAGAGAGAAAGGTGCGTTGACGAAAGCAAAAGGAGAAAGGGAAAGGGGAGTATGATCGTTTTACGGGAATTTGATACGGGACGTGGCGTGACGATTGTAAGTCGATTCAGAATTTTTAGAGGCGTTTCGATATCATCGGTTGATGTTTGATAATCGAATACTCGGGAGGGGGAGGAGGCACAATGTTTCATCGATGTTGAAAACAAACTGTGTAAACGATATTCGAAACAAGAGTATAATCGGATCGATCCAATCCCTTTTTTTTAATCGATAATTTCTCTCTTCGAATACGTGCAACGAGATTATAAATTATCGTCGCAAGAAAACTTTGGGGAAAAAATGGATATTTTATTTACACAGATAGACCGGATATATTTATGTATAACCGTCTTTATACCGTGGAAACGAAGTCTGTTAAATCGATATCGAGGATATCGTTCGTTTCAAATGGACAGTTTTATCGCTTCCTGCGCCCCCCACACTTTTCACGCTTGATATTCAACAACCTCTGTGCGAACCTCTCTTCAATAATCTCTAATAATTTCTCCTAAAAACAATGCCCTAAAAAATTTCGATTAGTCAAGTTATTAGTCCAGATCGAGACGAGATCTTATCGATACAATTTTTTTTTCTCTAAGAATTACGAAATTTCTCAGAATTTCGATTAACACGCAAGCGTGTGCCGATTAATCGAGCGTGATTCCACCATTTCGATCAAACTTCCATCACCTGTCGCTAATAGACTCGCAACCCTCTCCTCTTCGAGCCTTCGAATTTAACGAGAGCAAGGAAGAGAGAGAGAGAGAGAGCAGGGTGTCCTCCGTACAGGCGATTAATTAATTTCCATCTGCTCAGATCTCTCTCTCTCTCTCTCTCTCTCTCTCTCTCTCTCTCTCTCTCTGTGCGGAGAGATTCGCGAGATTCCCGTTTCCTGTGCCCGTTATCGT